CCACAAGATTTGAATGTAGACTGAAAATAAATAAGCTCCAAACTTATTGTTAATAACAAAACAGACTAATAAGTACCATCATTTATTGAAACTTTATCTTACCTTGTCCTTAAAATTCTCATGTGGTACAGGAACCCCCCACTTCAAATCTCTAGTAATACACCGTGCTTTAAGTCCTTCAGTGAGCCATGCCTGTGTTGTATTAATAGCATTTTGGCTCCAAGAACCAGCAACTTACATTTTGTTAATGTACTCAACTAATTGATCCTTTAGCAAAGGAAGCTCGAGAAATAAGTGCCGTGTGTCACGAATTCACGGAGTGTTTTGGCAGGCCTGTAATGAAAGTTCATATTGATACCTTATCAGTTGCAATAATTTTCATTTCATCACAGTTTTCTATCAAACTTCATCCTTAAAGGAAAAAAAAAAAAAAAAGAAGATATGATATAGTAGTACTTAAAAATTGATATTTCATTTACTAGTCTCATCAAACAACAATCAACTTCAGCCGCAGGTTACATGCACATCTCCAAAAATAATATCTTCCATAATTCGAAAAGCAGTACTCACTTCAATGCCTTGGGCAAAAACATAAATTATTGATTAAAAAATGTAAATTTAGTTATCAATCTAACTGTACCTTACACCTAGGGTCTTTTAGTTCAGTAGGATTCAAAAGCTTCCCGCACTTTTCAGATTGATCTCCACGAGCAGAATCATAGTTACACCCTCCATCTGGACAGGTGCCCTCCACAAGCCAATCAGCCAAGAACCATTGGCATGTGTCGCAGAAAAGCTTGATGCCAAGAGGAATTCAAGTCAAAACAACAAGCTAAAACAGAATATTTAGCACAGTATTGAGCTTTGGCTCCAATTGTTGAAACTTTTTCAATTTGGTTATCCCCCCCCCCCCCCAACAACAAAGAAAAACGAAGATATTTCAGAAACAAAATAGGGTTTCAAATAAATAAAATTTCACTTTCTACATATAGTTAAAATTCTTATTTTACTTCAATGTGCATTTATCATGTTTGGTCCAGTTGTTTGTCCTTTGATCATTTCTACCTAAAACAGATTTCGCATTTTGTTATGCTTGTTTTCATTGGCAGAATCACTAATAAGGCTAGTAACTAAGAAACCGCCAACAAAACGAAATCTAGGGCTCTATTTGATTTTTTTCCTTTGCTACTAATTCCTTGCTTCTAGAAGGAATAAAAATGAAAAAAAAAAAGTCTGCAAACAATATTTTCAAGAACTAAAACGAAAACTTTCATTTTTATAACAAGATACATGATTGTACTTTACATAAGCATTTATGTTAGAATTTATATTACATTTTAACAATCGGTCCATATTCAATCAATTATGATTTGTATTCCATATTTGCTTCTCCTTTATACAATTATAAAGTCAGCTTGTGAAGAACGGCCAAAAAAGTATAAAGAAAAACAACAACCAAGTAATCAAACGAAGTCTTTTGGGAAATACAACTTGCATACCTGTTCCATAGGTTTCTCCGAGAGCTAATTGTTCTCCCATAGCTTCTTGAAAATTGCTTGGCAAACTTCAGTTTGTTCCAGCGTCGATGTTCTTCCAAACTTATCAAAACTTAATCAAACCAATCATAAACTTCCTTATGAAGTGCATGATACCTAAAAAAACAAATAAATTCAAAAACTTAAAACAAACAGCCAAAAAAGCACATTTTAACCAGAAATTCCAAAAAAAAAAAAAAAGGTTTAAAAAATTACTTGTCACAAATTTCTTGAGGAGTACAGTTCTCTTCCATGGCTTAAGTCTCCGTCGTCGTTCCTTACTCATCGGTTCCGCAAATGTATATTGCATTATACCCTCGCAACCGGCAATAGCAAGCAAAAACGTCCGTGCTTAAGACACCTTTACCAAACAAGAACTAAAACTTCAAAATCAACGCAAACGCGAAAAAAATAATTGAAATCTAGAAATTAAGATGATGATAACAATAACATACAGCCGATGATGTTGCCGAGATGCGGCACGTTGTTGACGTAAGGCAACGCACTGGTGATGAGAACGTTGCGTTTCCCTGGGACTCGTAGCTTCGGAGTCGTCTGATTTAGGTCTCCCATTGGCTTTGATTGGTTTTGTTTCTACCGCCGGCGCACCTGGAATTGAAGTCCAAGCTTTTTTTCTGCTTCGTGTTTTGCGACTCGAAATGTTTCACAAAGGAAAGTACTAAGTATGGAAGCAGACGTAGGCGCCGGGGGGTGACTTTTGCTACGAGGGTTGGGGAAAGTAAGCGGTGACAGGGGTTAGAATCGGGTTCTTGAGGTGCCCGCAATGAAAGACCAAAAATTGACCAGGTGAGGATCATGTTACATGTGGCGAAAGACGATTGGATGTGAGGCAATTTGCCTTTTCCCAAAAGATTCTACGTCTGATTCAAAATTTATTATTATTTATTAACAAGATTCTATACCAAAATAAAAAAGTTAAAAGAAAATTCTTTTTCATTATTTAAGAGGTAATAAAAATTTTTATTACTTTATCTGAAAGTTAATAAATATTTTCACTTAAATCCATGTTAAAATTTAATAATTTTTAATAAAATACAAAATCAATTTGAATAAATATCAACCATACATTTAAATTAAAATGAAATATTGATTTTTAAATAAAATAATAAAAACTACCATTATTTTTAAATAATAAAAAGGATTTTTTCAATAAAAATTAACATACAAAAATTAATTAAGAGAAATAAGTTAATTTAACCAATTTTTTTTTCTTTCACAAAAAAAATTAATTTTTTTTTAAACCGACAACGTGTAAAGTTTAATTTATTAAATGTGCGTTATATATGTAACTTTTTTTAATTCTAAAAAACAGTGAGCTTTTAAAATATTTTTATTTTTACAAAAAAGGTATTTTTATGTTTAATTCAACTGAATATGTTAAATTTTATAAGCTTTCAATGTATTATGAAATTTTAATGTGTTTTTCTTTCTTATGTATATTTTGAAATAATAATATTAATTATAAATTTGATACTTCAAACATTTATATTCATATCTATTTTTTGCTAAATATTTTTTTATTTTCACAATTCTTGTCATATACAATTTTTATTAATTTTAAATTATATTATTTTTAATTTATTTTTATATTATATTATTATGTTATATTATTATATTAAATTTAATTAATTATAAGTAGAATAATACTATTTTTGTTAAAAAAGAATAAAGGATATCAACTTGACAAAACTCAAAGGCTTGCACAACTTTGCATGCAACTTAAGGCTCATTTGGATTTTATTAATCCATCAGTTTAGTGCGTTTGAATCACTTTTTGCTTTAATCTCATCATCAATAAGTGTTTGAATAACAGAGAAATGGTATGATTGGATCATTTAACCCACACTATGGTTGATATTTATTTAAATTATTTAAATAAAATTTAAATTTAATTGAGTTTGAATTAAAAAAATTAATCAAATTTGAATTTCGAATTTGAAATTGAATTCGAACTCAAATTTAATATTATATCGATTCAAATTTGATTAATTATAATTCTAATTAAAAGAACAAGGGTTCAACGAACTATTAGACCTTAAATTATACAATTTTATCCACAAGTTAATATATTTTTTAAAATGCCCCTAATTTTAAAACTCTAACAATTTCAACATTTTTTTATCTTAATATATTTTTTAATTTAGAATATATGTCATTATTTATTAAATAAAAATTAAAGATTTTAAATATTAAATAACATTAATATATATACATTAATAATCAAATAATTAATAATAAAAATATTATTTGATATAAATATAATTTTACTAATTTTCAACTTGTTAATAAAATATTATTTGATATAAAATAATTTAATACTTTTTAATTACTTATTAATTTAAAAAATATCAAATATTTATTATAAATTTTATTATATATAAATTTTAATCTAATATTTTATTAATAATTTTTTTAATTATATTATATTTTATTTCATCATTATCATTATATTTACATTTAAATAAATATTATTATTAATTTTAATTTTATTATTATAATATTTAATCTCACTGTTATAATAATTTATCTTATCTTTACTATTATTTTTAATTTCATGCACCTTAGATTACATCAAACATTTAAGCACTGCTGTGAAAGAAGTCAGCCACGTGTATAAAGGAATAATAGCTGTTTATTCCTTTTAGGCATGAGAATTCCATAAAAGGGTTATAAAAAGTTTTTTAAGTAAAATTTTTGAAATTTTTTATTAAAAATCAGTAAATTAAATTTGATAAATTAAAAAATTTTATTATAGATTAAATTTATAAAATTTGAAAAAATTTAAATAAATTTTAATATATTTATTAAATAAATATTTTTAATAAAAATATTAACAAAAATTTTAAAATTAAATAAATATGATTAAATTTAAATTATAAATAATTTTTTAAATAATTTTTTTACGCATTATTAATTTTTACATTTTAATTTTTTTATTAAAATTTATATTTACTTATTTCTAATAAAAAATTTTATGAATTTTATCAATAAATTAAAGTTTTGTCAATACTTGCTTTTTATGTTCAACGATGCAATCTGATTGAGCTGATTTTAATTTTTCCGAGGAGCTTGAAGTAGTCGTCTCAGTCTACAGCATGTTAAAACCATTTGGTTCGTTTCAACAAAAAGATTGAAATAACATCATCACCACCCATGCTATATTTCAAAGCTGAATACTTTTCATCTTTTTTTTTGTACAATAATAGTTGAATGCTTTACCTTGCTATCAATATATGCAAATAACTTCAGCAATGGTAGTTCAATTTTAGGTACATCATATTACATCAAACAATTCATATATACGTGTTTGTTATCTTTATAATAAATACGCGTAAAATATAAAATTTATCGTATCATATTTCATATCGACACGTTAAACACGAATGATAGACTGTCAGATTCATATATGATTTTTGTTAAAATTTTAAATCGCATCATTTTTTTTTTCATATCGTTTCATTATATTATGTTTAAAATTGCCAAATTTACATAAAATAGAAGAAAATATTACTAGTGGCCATTGTAGACCAGATTGCATGTATAACCTGATCGCAGAAGCGTTTGAAACTCATCTAACTACATTTGACAGAAAAATGTTGGAGAATGGTCTAGGAAAGGAAAATTCTCAATCCTCTACAGCATTAAAAAAAAAGGATGTAACAAGAGTTTCTATTGGAATTAAGGAATGGAGACTACCATCTCATGCTGCTAGCAGCTTTTAGACTCTAGAGGCTTGCTTTATATAATACTTTTAAAGCATTAGCAATCTCATCTGCTGTTGCTCTACCTTTAATGCTGGTGATCAAAGGGCTATCGACCGGAACAATGTCGTCTCTCAGTTTCAGGTCAATTGTTCTAAGCAATCCTTCGGAACCCTTCGTCACGACTTCTTTCATGATCAAAGTCTTATGAGCTCCGGATATCAATTCTTCATAATCGGTGTCTCCAGTTTCACCAGCAATGACAAACATGTTTGCAACATTCAGTCTCCAACGCACGAAAAGGTACCTAATTAAATGAACAAATCACGATCCAAAAGTGATTATAACACCATGTAAAAGAGAATCAAAGTGATTTACATGAAGTCAACTTACAAAAACTGCAAAGCAAATGTTGAAAATGAATTAATTTTGTCATTGCATATAAGCACTATCTAAAAAAATGGCTAATAGAACGACCTGCAAAACATATAAAGACCATGGATGATTCAATTCCTGCCTAAGAATAAAGGGTCCACCTTGATAAACAAGTATCAAACTGTACAAAACAGTACCTCAGTGCCTGTGCTCGAGATGCAAAAAGAGGAACAACTTGCATTCTAGTTGAGTTCCTGCAATACATTGGATGGCAACGGAGACCTCGCATCCTAAGCTTCTGCCTCAAATCATCCACTTTCTTTACCTGTAAAAGCAAGCCACCATAAAATCCAGACAAGAAATGCAATTAATTCTTATGTTACCAGTAGTCAAATTGATATATTTACCTTACTGGGATCCTTTACAAAGTATGCACAACAATGGGCATTGCTTGATTTCACATCTTCCTCGATGGGGCTAGATGAAGATGTGGATTTTTCTTCTCCTTCAGGGTTCATCAACTTCCAAATTGTCTTCTTTAGACCCTCATAGCCCCAACGATAAGCAATATGAGATGCATAATCAGGATCAGGAAAAAGTTTTCCGTCTTCTTCTATGTAAGTACCAGGGTAATACACTTCACTGCCACTGCTACAGATCAGAGCATCAAAATTGTTTCCTTGAATCTTTGCTGATTTCAAGAACTCTATTGTTTCTGAGACTGGCATAGCTGTTGATATAGCAAACCCTGTGACTCTTGCAGTTTGAGCGTCCATCCGAACAACCTTAATTATGTCTTGTACAATTTGAACCATCTTTTTCTCAGGGATCCCTTTGCTGTCATAGCAGTCAAGTGTTACAACAATCAATCTACGTCGCCTCCTCAAAATTGGATACTTGCTTGCCACATTTGCAAATTTCCTTCCCTCTGTGTCTTTTGAGTTTGTTTCTGGCTTCTTTATCTTGCTTAGGACTCGTTTTACTTGGTCTTGCAGCTCAGGGTCACTAGCAGATGTAGCCACAGCGTCTAGGGAATCATTTATTGAAGATTTGTCTCCATCAATAGACAGCCTAAGAGACATGTCTTGCACGTCCTTAAGCGAGTCATTGAGAGATGATTCTTCAACAGCGATTTCATCCCCCGGTGTATCTGTTTGCCACTGAGGATATCTCATTCGACAAGCTGCCACCCTGGTCAAGTAAGTACGGCAGTGTTCAGGCCATGAATATAGGTGTATATTCTTCCAACCATTCTTTCTGCACTCATGCCATAAGTATTTCTCTGATACCAACTTAAGCAGGGCATCAGCAATTGCTTGCTGATCATGGGGATCCACAAGAAGGCCATTATTTAGTGCCTAAAATTCATAAAAAGAAATATCAGATTAGAACTAGTATAACATTTGAGTAAGTAAATGAATAGAAAGACGGAAATGGGGATATCAAAATTTATTTAACATTTTGAACAAATAGTTACTATAAAGTTTTTAGTTAGTTCTACTCAGCCTTTCAGGAGAAAAGTTTATGCTTGAAATCTCTGGCAAGTCTACCAAGCATTATCTTATAATTGGGAATATATTAATTGTTCTTACCTGCTGGATGTCAACTGGTCCACCATTTTTGGTAGCCACCATTGGAAGCCCATGAGCTGCTGCCTACGTTATATCAAATAAATAGAGATCCAAATTTTATTTCATCGTCTTAATAAGATGTCGTCTTGACAAATTCCAATCAATAGAAAACCAACCTCTATCAAGGTAAGTCCAAAAGGCTCAACCAGAGCAGGATTTATGAAAACTCCCTACCATATTTACATCCAGTTAGTTAATTATAAAAATCAAACCACATGAAGCTAGCTCAACAAATATGAATCTAATTTTAACCTTTGTTTTTGCTGCAAGTCGATAAATATCTGGAACATCAGACTGTTTGTGATGCTTTGGATAGGCCACCAGCCCATAGAGGTCATACTTATCAATAAGTTTCAAAACTGTTATGAGCACACTAGCATTCCCTCCAGACATTTCATCAATATCATCTCTGTTTCCCATTATAAGTGTCTGCACAAAAAGCAATTAGTATTATCATACTTTCCTCCAATCTGTAAATCAAATTATTATACACACCAACTTACAAGATTAGCAAGCTCTCGTAAAGGACGACATTCTCCAAAGGCTTTCACGAGAGTGGTTATGTTCTTTTTTGGATCAGGTCTAGATAAGGCCAAGATCATTGGCTTGTGGGGATTTGTGAAAAACCTCATCACCTACCAAAAGTATTAGAAGAATCAATAACATCTATGCTAGGATTTCTGCACAATGATTGTATAACATAGTTGACCCACTTACTTCTGACCACATTGTCGGAATTGCCTTTGGAGATGACCCATCAGCACCACCAACGAGCGTGGCAAGTTCTCCATCAAGCTCAGGGGTATCTTCTTGAACTACAACACTACTGAAGTCCATGCCAGGAGGAATAACCTGCAAATAACTTGTACTTCAAAGCTAACAGCAGAGGTGCAAACAAAATGATTCAATATTGTCCAATTTGTCTTTTCAAACTAGTTACAGAATGTGAATTCATTCTAGTAGCCCCTAACTAATTTGATCCTTAGGTTAGTTCGCATAGAAAATCAAGTTATTTGTAGAAGAGGTAACAATATATTTCAACACAAGTGGAATAATGAAGTTCATGGATTATGTTTCAGAGGAAGAGCAACCTCGAACAGCCATGATATGGAAGCAGTAATCAATAAACAACAGCTCCAGATATAGGGGGAAAGCGAAAGGAAAAAGGAAAACGCATCCTTACCACCATCCTTGGCATATAGCGACCATGACAGTTTACTCCACGTCTAGCACGGGCACGTAAAACTTTTTCAAGCTTGACATCAAACCCGTCATAAAGGCCCCATTGCTCTTCAATCTCCTGCTTGGTACTAGTGATAACTAGTTCTGCAGCATCAAGGGAAAGTTCTTCTCCTTCAATTCTTCTCATAATCTTGTATGTTGAATTGATGTCTTCTTTTGACTGTCGTCCCTGTTTAAGCAGCTGCTCGAGCTTGTTTCTCCCAAGAGAGTGACCTGTTAAAACCATTGGGACATTTAAAGCACCTGAGAGAAGAGCAGCACTGTCCCCAGCATCAGCATAATGGCCATGGATAACATAAGGCCACACAGGTTGGCCCCCACCAATTTGTTCACCAAGAACTTTTGACATATTTAGAATATGAGCCAAAGCACCATCTACAAATTCCTGAATATAGGGCCACAGTAATTCTTTACGAAGGTACTTTTCACGCGGACCAAAAGGAATCCTTATAATGTATGCTCCACTACTCTCACCATCATTGCCATCTCCATCTTCATCAGCAAGCGTTAGCATCTCTGTAGGTTCACCATAGCTCCAATCAACTTCCGGTGATGAGATTTGTCGAGTAAAAAGATCAACTCTATACACTCCTGACACCTTTGCAAGAGCCCTAGAAAGTTCTACCACATATTTGACCTGAGGATTATTTTATTTTCATAAAAGCAGAAAATTAATGAAATAAGGCAAGAAATGTGATGCTATTGACCAAAAAAAGAATATAGCGTTTACCTGTCCACCAGTGTCAGAATCTCGACCAAGCTCCATGTTATCTCCTCGGACTAAACCATGCAAACTGGTTACAAAGAAAAAATGCAAAGGTGCTTCAATTGAATTGTTAATGCAGAATTTCTTGTAGCAAATATGAGCAGAACTAAAACCAACTCTAAGAGGACATGATATTGTGACTAAACCGTGAATCTCCACATTGACTAAGATTTTAATTGAATAACTTAAAACCAGGTCACAGAAGGTTTAATTACAAAAGAATTTATGAAGTTACTATTCAATAAAATGCAAGCAAGTCATGCCACTTGGAGTAATCATGATGCTAATTTTCAGGCATGGTTATTCCATTTACATTCTTTTTGCTTCTCTAAATAATGAAATGAAAATTTTTCAAGAACTACAAAGAGGCTTTTCTTCATTGGAGTAAGGTAAAGCAGGCTTTTAATCATTTTAAATTGCAATTGCTTTCATTACTTAAGTATGCCTTTCCTTTCTCTTCCCTATATTCTGCTGCAATATTAAATAAAATACAGCACCAAAAATGATTTTATCTACTGCTGCATAGAATTTATTTATACAAACTACCTGACGAATTAGGCTTAAATTAATAGACAAATCTTGATACGAGTTTAAGATTGATGGATATTAGGGAAAATGATACCTGATAAGGACAATGTAAAGTTTTTTTTCCTGTTTGTCATCTGACCACACTTCCAAGTTAGAAAAGTTTCGTTGGAATGTTTTCCTTGGGGTCTCAGCTTGCATCAACTCACCAAAAGCATCTCCCTTCTCTCCTTCTGACAAGTCTTCGGACAAGTCCTCGGTGGCATCCCTGCGCACTTGTTCTCGTTCCCATCTCCGCTTGGCCAATCGTTGCAGTTCTTCCCACTCCAACTATTTACGTTATAAGAACGAGATTTCAGTCCTCTAAATTTTTTAACTTTCAGTGACCAAAAGCTCATTTCAAGTTTCTTGGCATTCAATCTATGGTAGAGGACTTAAGGGACAATGTCACACTTAAGAACTATTCTAGCAAAACTCCCACTGACCCACAAAATAGGAAGAAACACTTTCAGAATAGTCGATTCATAGACATAGCTATCAATAACAAGGAATTTGTTGAAATACGAGGTAACATATAGCTATACTGAACAAATATAAATATGCAAGCCGTAAATTGGACTGGACAATTCTGAAAGACAACCTGAATTACACATATATCCATTTACTTAGTAAATTTACCACTAAATTCAGTCATTTTATCAATCCTATAATTTTTTTTTAAATAAAACTTTTATTAGTGTTATTCATGGCTTCTTACTAACTTCATTACCAACTACATGTCAGTTTGATTTTATTGAGGCTCATTACACATATTTCTAAGGCTTTTTTCTGCATCACTATCAATCTAGGGCTACACAGCCCAAATAAAGCAAACAGAATCTAGATAACCAAATAGTAAGGCATAAAAAAAAAAGCCAAACCAATTCAGGAATGCCAATTGCTCAAATGATTCACAATTTTCTTCTGTTTTGGGGCCACAAAACTATAGAAACAGAGAGAGTAATTACAGTCACCCACTTCTAAATGTAGGGAAGGCCAAAAAAACTATTAGCTTTTAACATCCCTCCAAGATGCTTACACGGACACACATAAAAAAAAAAAACATACATGCATATATTACCAGTTGCATAGGTTTATATTTATATAATTTTATCTTCATAAATACTTATGTATGCTTATTTATTTATTCATGCACTTTTTTCTTCACAAGAACCACTAAGGACAAATGTACTTGTACTGGATATATATTAATTTATACATGTCATTGAGCATTTATGTTTTGAAACTAAGAAATGATTGCCAAAATGCAAACAACTTCTTTAAAATTTCACATAACCCAATTTCAAATATACATAAACAGGTTCAAATTTCTAATATGATGGATGCATAAATACATAGTTACATACACATAAACACAAAAATACAGGGGTAAGATAGAGGAGGATCGACCTGCTTCTTTTTACGGGTGAGGTGCCAAATGCGCCAGCACATGTTCTCAAGCCTTGAACTACGTTCCCTGGTATTCCGGGTGGCAACAACCTTGATCCATGTTCTATGTAAATCAGTCTCATCAACACCTGTCACCACCTCCTCAACGAAGTACTTTGTTGGATTGAAATGACCCCTCTCTCTCAAATTCACCGTTGCTGGCTTTTGCTCCTCGATAGCTGCTGCTCCACTGTCCAATATTGCTTCCAAATACCCGTTTATCCACTCGTTCCCAGCCATTCTTTTCCTTCACTTTCTCCAAAAAAAAAAGTTTCGATTTTCTACAGCTTTCTTGCCTCTTCTTGAGCTAAGAAAACATGGGTCTTTTTTGTTTTTGTGTGTTCCAATATCAAAGGAGTTTCGGGGAAATTACTTAACAACACAACATGAAGGTTTTCTTTATGTTTCGTGTACAAGAAAAGTGTTTCTCTTTCTTTCTACTTAGAACCAAAAACAAAGTAAAAATCCAAAATTTTGCATTAGAATCTAAATTAAAAGCACTACAAAAAGAACATATATAGTCTTAAAAAAGAAAAGGAAAAACTTGAAGGGGTTTTGTCTTTGTTTCTACATTAAAAAGTAAAGGAAAGTGTTAAAAATTTTAGTGAAAAAGAAAAAGAAAGAAAGTTACGGTAATGGTGGGATACTGGTGTTGGTTGGAAAGAGTCCTATGAAAGAAGAAAATGGGGGAAGGAAACCGTTACTAAACCAAAGAGCAGAGAAGATGACAGCAAGAGAAGAAAATAGAGGGGGTGAGGGGATAGGAAACACGTGGCCGAGAATCGTGGGGTCAAGGCACGATGATAGTTGTACAAAGATTTTGCATGTAAACAGAAAAGGTCAACATTCTGCTTCACGCTTGTGATGCAAAGATGTGGGTGGGTTTGTTTTGTTTTTCTATTGGCTCTTCACGTTTCAAGGCCCAATGCGAGGTTTGCCGCTCTTTAATTTTCGTTTGAAACTCCGAGATGTTTGGTGTAATTAATTTGGTCATCGTTTCCTTTCTTGATCAGTTGATAATTGATATACTGAATCAACAATTCTAATAGCATTTCATTTTTCCGTTCATTGGAATGAAACATTTCGTCTCAAGTTTATATAAACAATTCTCATACTATGCTATAGATTTTATTTCAATATTTCTATTGCTTTAAAATTATATAACTTCAATTCAAACTATCAAGACAGTCGAATGATATGTTGATAAAATTTTTAATTTTTAATTTTTAATTTTAGAATTTAAATTTTAATAAATTTAAATATAAAAAATAAATTATATATATATATATGTTGAACTTTCTTTGTATTTTCGTATGAAATGGAACTAACATAAAGAACTTAATTTATGAAATAGAAAATAGTAAAAAAATCATAGATATTTTTTTTGAATGTATCTTGATTAGAGTCACGTGGCGTGCAATGCACCTAGCCTACCAATACTTGAACCAGAGACTGTCCATCGCGTAAAAGCTTATCACCTTCTTTCTAATAAGAGCCCTTTGTCTTGCCATGTCATAACAAAAGGTGACAATTCGTGTTACTAGAAGTTGTATTCATGTCTATTATCTAATCTAATTTTTAATTTTATTTCTATTTTATATATCTTAATTTTTTTATACAAAAAAAGTTGCGGTCGACAAATATAAAAAAAAAATTACATATGTTAAAATTTAAATATCAAATTTACTCCATATTATCTTTTAAAGATAATTATAAAAAATAATTGAATTAAATTTTGAGTTCATATATCTTAAATTCATTCATTTTAAAATGATTAACATCATTATAAATTTTTTTGTTATCAGTGATTAAAATTTATGATTCAAAAATATTTTGAATTTAAATTTTAAGATGACGATAATAAAAAAGATTTGGCTCTTCTATTGTAGTATAATGAACATATTTTATTTTATTATAATTTATTTGCTAATGTAATCAAATTATGTATATTGACAAGTTTGTTAAAAGTATTGATTTTATTAAAAAACCAATCAAGGTCAAAAGAGTCTTTTTTTTAATTATTAAAAAAAGAAAAAAATGATTGTAAACAATTAAATTAGAGGAGCAAAGCATGTGAATGTTGAGAATATGTTTTTTTTTTTAATTTTTTTTTCTCTCATTGCATGATGCAAAAGTATGTGGCAATAGAAAGCCATCATCCAATCCAAGCTTTGTAGTATAAACACCAATATCCATGAACCAAACTTCATCTCTTGTTATCTATTTTTTTGCTTTAAATAGATGAATCCAGCTTTTCCACACAAGTAGCTTTCCAAATGTTGTTAGAATTGAGAGTTCTAAATTTTTTTTTCGATAAAGTTGAGTTCATTGAACCCGTGGTCCTCTCATCTAGTTTGCTTCCAAACAAAATAAAGATTGAGATTGCAAGTCTAGATAAGTTTATGATATGTGTTATTCTTTATCTTTTAACCATCATTCAATTTTATTTTTATCCTTTTATTTGAAAATGTTTGCTAGGCCCAAAAAATTAAATCCACGAGTTAATTTGATAATTCATGTATTTGTATCATATAAAATATTAAAATTCATGTATTCATATCCGTATTTTATATAAAAATTACGTGTTATAATTCTTGACGATACGAAAATCTAAAATGTATTTTTTTAGTTTTTTAAATTTATATATAACAATTATTATTATTAAAATTTTAACTCATGTTATTTTCATATTTTTTATTCGTATTATATTTATATCATATTATTCTATCATATTTTAAATTCATACTTTCTCTTCTGTTATTGGTTACCTATTTTTTTCAATCACAAATTGGCTTAAGCATTGGAGTGTGCTTTTGAGTCTTAACTTTGGCATCTCTTAGCCTTCTTCTCTTTCATAGGTTTGCCATGTTCACCAATTCAGCCTCCAATGGACTTTTAATTATCAAAACAAACATTAAATCAACAATGTTATAGAAAGAAACAAGTAGACATGCTTGCGCCTTGAAGGGGTTTTGATAATAATACTTAAAAGGCATTTAGTTTATAGATTTTTAGATTTAAAAAAAAAAGTGATTTTGGGAAAAAAGGACATTAAAGGAGATTGAATGATTTTTGAAGTTTGTTAATTTTAAAAATGTAAAATTTTTGTATTGGTTAGAGAAATGTAAAATTAAATAATAATTTTTTACTATATCTTATATAAATATATAAAAGCTAAAGTCTTTAGTATAAAAGGAAATAATCCTGCATAGATAAGTTACATTTTTGACATATGGAATGTCATAGTTAAATGACATGTGTTATATAATTAATGAATTTGATTATATAATTAATTTTAAAATAATTTATTATGGCTAAATTAACTATATTTAAATACCATTATTCTTACCTCCTATAAATTAGTTATAATTAATTTGATAATTAATTCAAAAAATAAAAATTTAAATAGAAAACTAATTAATCATGAATAATTTTGCATATTTACTAATCTTTATTTATGATTATATAAACATATTAATCTAATATGTATATATATTAGTTATTTTATATATATACATATATATATACACACACACACACACACAAAAGATAACTTCAATATATTAACTTAAAAAAATGAAATAAGTTTATGTATGTAGGATAATTTTTTTATACATGAACAGTATCAAATGATGTCATGTGTTTTGATCATAATCAACTATTCAAATTTCAAAATTAAAATTACAAACTAATTTAATCTTTAATATTTTTTCAATTATCATCCAAAAAATATTGTTACCTATTCAATGGCTTTAATTCTAGTTTTTTTTTTTAACTTTAAGTATAAAGATTTCTTTCTATTTTTTTTTTAACAATAAAACTCTTATTGGTCATGCATTCAATAGCTTTAATTTTGTTGCAAATTCTTTAAAACTTTTTATACTTATATTATCTTAATTATGGTTGTTTGATTACAAAAATAAAAAGAACTGATATGTCAAATTATATTATTTAAAATTTAAACTCTATAACAATATGTAATTAAGGAGACAAAAATTTTTTTTAGTAATGTGTAATTGATTAATAGCTCAATTCTTGAGGTTCACATTTATGAGTATGTGTGTTATCTATATATAAAATGGAGATATGATAAAGTTGACACATACAACAACATTTGTCAAAAAAATTTCATTTGTATTCTTCTATTCTTTTTTATCCTTAATACATTGTTTAAATGATGGTATGACTTTTTGACATTTGACATCAATTATCTACATTTTATAATTAAGCTCTAAAGAGATGTTGTAAGATTAAAACTCTGTGGGTATTATTATTTTTTTGTGACATGTTCTTTTATTTTTTTATTTAGTATTATATTTTTGTAAATATATTTTCCTTGATTATTCGAGTTAGAATCATTAGATTAATCTTAATTATGATTATTTGATTTTATTTCTTTTTATTTCAATTTTTGTTTAGTGTTCTTAAATATTTTACTATGAAAAATATTTTATAACTAATCTTTTCTTTTCAGTTTTATAGTTTCAAGGTTTTCATATTAAAACAAAAAGTTATAATGTTAAAAAAGAATGTGAATGATGATAAATTTTTTATCAAAAGTTTAATTTTTTTATAGATCTCTTTGAATGATTTTTTTATTTATTATTAATATTTGGCACTTATGTGTTTCTATCTCTTTGATAAATTCATTATTCAATTTGTCAAAAAAAATGATTAATGGTATACTTTTCTCATTTTTTTTATTTGATTATTAAGTATTTCATTTGTAATGAATAGGGAAAGAGACTATTTTTTACTTATTTTTATTTACAGTTTTATTTTTTATTTTTTGTATGTGATTCAATAGAAAGTTTAACAAATTTGATATTATTTGAACTTATATTGGGTTTTTCAGCTCAAAATTCATTCATATATAATAAATCTTTGGTTCATCATGTACTTCAATATATAATTATATGTTTCTAAAAACATATCTTACAATGTTCTAAATTATTAAAATTTCGAGTTTCAATTGCAATATAGATTTTTTAATGATATGATTTTATGACTAATATATGTTTATTCAAATTAATAAAAAGATAAATAATTATTAAAAGGAGTCATGTATTTTCTCTAATCGATTTAAAAAGTAAGTGAAATCACTTTAAAATCTTAAATTAATTAAGGTAAATTTGACCACACTTATGAAAAAATGTTTAATTTGATTTTTTTTATTTAACTTTTTAATAACATCTAATATCCATATGATAATGAGTTTCTTTTTAGATATTATTTGGATATATGCATATGTAAATTTTATATTTAAAAACAATATTTTTATGTATAATTATATAAAAATAACCCATGCATAGCACATGCCACAAACTAGTTGTCTTTTAATAATATGTGAATAAATTTGACAGACATAAAAATATAGAAATAAGTTATTTATTTAATATTTTATAAGATTTTTAATTATAAATTATTTATATATTTAGTTAAATATTTAAAATATTTTTAATTAATTAATTTATCTAAAAAATAAAATAATAACGATTTCTTTTTAATAAACATCTTCCCATATATTACAAATTTATAAAACTATAAAGATAAATTTACTGTACATTTTTAGTAAAACTATATAGTAAAATTTATAGTTGTTGAAAATTTTTAAAAGAATGTTATATTGTGGAATATAAGTTCGCTTTATTTTTTGCAACTAAGAAAATAGAAAAAACTATGAATCATGTAAAAAGATAGCTTCTTAAATAGAGAATAGCAAATGATTACATATTTTCAGTAAAAACTATATTTTTACTCTTAAAAATGTTGTTTTTGTTGAAATTATAAAATTTTAAAAATAAATATTTTGTTTTTTTATATTTTCAACAAAAATTATGTTTTCAAGAAAAAATATGATTTTTATTGAAACTATAAAAAGAAAAGTATAAATTTTTTTCATATTATATTTTCAACTAATATAACGTTTTTAATCTAAAAAGTATAAATTTTTTTCATATTATATTTTCAACTAATATCATGTTTTTAATCTAAAAAAAAAATCTTTGTCGAAATTACTTGAAAAATATTTTTTTTCATAATATATCTTCTTAAAATAACAAAGACCATGTTTTTAATTTAAAGTATGTGATCTCTGTTTAAAATGTATTACGAAAAATTTTATTTTCATAATATTTTATAAAAAATTACTATATTTTTAAGGTAAAT